CTTGTGGAACAGGCTACCAGCGACCATTCTACCAGCACGGCCGCAACCCAGACAGCGCCAATCCTTCAAGGAAAAATGCAACAAGTATCTGCTGCACCTGAACTGGCAATCAACCACCGCTGCCCTGTGAAACGGTTTAGACCAGCGCCTCACTAATATCCTCCCCCCCCCTTACCACAATGTGACGTTATCGTTCACTCTGCTTCTCTCACGACAATCTACCTATTGTCCTCGTTCCTCACTTTTATTCATTTCTCCTCTTCCTCCCCTGCACATTGTTTTACTGCATCATGGCGCGCTTTGTCTGCGTACACGCCGAGACCTTTGAGGTCAGCAGAGCAGCCTCGCCCCGCGACCACTTTTCTCGCACATATTCGGGAATATAGTGGACTTTGGGATACTTCGAAGAAGATGTTGCGACTTCGGCGATGATTTTGTTTAGGAATGGGTTTGCTCCCACACTGGAGCTCGCGCTATTCCGCTATTTGGTATACTTCCAAGTAATAGAAATAAAAAAAATGACAGGAAGGTCTTCTTCTGGTGCGTTGGAGATGACTGCGTTGAGGCAGGACTTCAAATTGCCTCTGGAAATACAGGACGGAAAAGACAAGCGCTGGCTTAGTCCTGCAGTGCCAAGTAGGTAGCTCAGCACGTCGCAAACTCTATCAGTGATGTCAGTGGGAAGCCATGAGGTGTGTTTTGCGTTCATATCTCCTACCAATAGAAACAACATGAATGGAATAGTGTAGATTGGAAGTGCTATGAACCCTACCGACACAACTATCACATGTGCTAAGTCAAGCACAAGAAGAAAGAGAAATACACAGAATAGGTTGCACTTAAAAACTACAAGTCACAAAGAATACTGGATGTAAAGTAGAAGCCGAGTGACAGCCAACAAAAATCATTTTGGACGTCTAACGTCATATTTTAAAGCTGCCAGCTGCACAAAGTCATCATACATATATTTGGAACGAAACCAAGCTTGTCAGGAGCAACTCCTAGCTGTTGGTGAGTGTGACTGGTGCAGTGTTCGTGCTGGTGTCTGCAAGCGTCGTATGGTCTCGGTTGGTCGATTGCAAATCTACCAATACAAAACTGATAGAAGAGCTAATTACCATTTGGCTGAGTGGTTGTGGGCTTGCCTGTGAATCACAAGATCCAAGTTCGAGACACACGCTGGGAGCAGGGAGGGTGTACTGTGCTAGCAAATGCGGTGATGCATGCGTGAACCACTTTACATGCAGTATACTGCGCCGACACCCAAGGTCAACTGGATACTCACTACTCGGAGTGAGGGTAACATTGATGCAGCTATCTAGGTTAGCCCCCTTGTCGGGCATTGGTTGTGAGACTTACCACCTCACCCTCGCCGTTAGGCGCTGCATCTGCCACCCTGGTATCACAGGCATGGTGGTGGCCTGGCACATGCGAAACTTCCTAAGCTGGTTGTGTTTCTCAACGCAATTGTATAGCCGGTGGTAACGCGGACGTGCAAATTTGTTTTTAATCCAAACGCCAGAGTCTATCGTCTAATAGAACAAATCCAAACAATACTAGTAGTAGCCTTCCAATCACTGTACATGTATTTACAACAGAATTAAAATGAGGGACTAGACTTACTCGATATGATTCCGACGGCGCAGGTCCACTCTGACAGGTGCACCCATAGCTAAAATGATTGGTATACACTTCAGCGTCCGTGGATCCATCGAGCATTGGAATTGGCAATCCCGCGACTGAACAAAAGTCATTTCTTCATCAGCAGCTTGTCGATAAAGCAAAGTAATAATAGACGATGAAGTATTCATACTTGGGCACTTTCCCAGGATATTCGCTTCACCGAATGAAACTCGACGAAAAAGGATTTCCGCTGGTTTCGAATGATATTTTACTACGTGAATTCCAGCAGAACATGCATTTGGACCGATAGTGTTTACCACAAAACTGCAGTCCGTAACTGCAACTCGAACTCTGGAATGTGTTGAAATGTATATCGGACTATGGAAGATGAGACTTTGTGCAATGATTGATCGGATCACCGTCACAAGAGTCACGTCGCGACCCGGCAGTGGACATGTAAACACCCTAATCATACTACCCGAGGAGCAATTTGTGAAGTTGCAGTTGACAATCGTGACATTGGTGGTCCGAGGATTGTGTGTGTATATGGAAAGTACAGCCTGGGTAAGTGTGCGGGCAGGTTTCATGTTATTCAGTCTGATGTTACTCATTCTGATGTTGCTCATTTGGCAGTTTTCAAATAGAGCAATCAATTGAGTGGAAGCGTGCAGAAAGACACGTACTGCCGAATAGGTGAGGAAGGTTGGTTGTCCGGATTCAGCTGGGTGCGCTGTGAATGAACAGTTTTGTACACGAATCAACCTCGCCTGGGGATTATTTCCTATACGTCGAGTTATAAATGGGTTGTTGATGGACAATCCCCCGTTTCCGGAATAAAGCAGAAACTGACACGATATAAACTCGATTTCGTTTACATGTTCAATCAGCAGCGATATGAGGAATCCAGGCTTCGATGGTCTCCCACGAGGACCGCTAAATAATATAGATGAGAAGTGCATCGTTTGCGCGAAAGTCATAACTACATCAATGAAGCCACCTCGAAGTGTCGTCAAGTTGCAGCCAAGAGTGTCAAGGGTCGACATCTTGAGACTTGTAACACAATCGCTCTTGAGTTTCAATGGGGACCTTCCTAGCTGCAATGTGCATCCAGTTTCTACGGTTGGAACCAGATATATCTGAACGTTAACAGATTTCTTCCCCACACAGGTACCTGTAAGTGTGTAGTTGGCTGAGTACGCGTCAACCATCCGGAGAATCTGTATCCAGGCATCATGTACGGTCAGGCATGGTCGCAAAAGGTCAGCACCACATGGCTCCGTTGGTCCAGTAACTGAAATTCCGCTTCTATTGGAAACAAACACTGTGAACGTATTGTATGAGGGGACTACACCTTGGTCCTGGTGAACTTGAGATGATGTGGCTGGTAACACCGCTGAGTCAGCCGACCGAGAGAGCCGCTCACCATCGCTGAACACAGACGTTGCCAGCAAAAGCAACACTGCTAATACTTTTCCAGGAGATGCAGGCATGGTTAGGACTACCATCCCTGCATTGAGCAATAACTTAACATTTACGTCATATGACCCTCGAAGCATCGCGAATCATTGTCAACCATGGAATAGTGAGAACAGATAATGCTAGAGTGTGGATATTCGACTAATATTTACTCTAGAGACCGGTAAGAGTTCTGATCTAATACGATATCTTTGGGCTGGTGATTATCAAACTGGTTCCTCACGTAAATGCTTTAGCCCACACTAAACAACGTGAGAATGGTGCCGTTATCATTTAAATCTTACCTTGCGCTGGACACCGACCGGTCAGGAGCAATATTCTTGCCGTTTCTTTCTGCGATATCCTAATAATATCTTCTCTTCGTCTTGTTGGAGATATGCAGTGTTCCAACTCGGATTGCAATCTTTTGACACAACTAGTCCCTTGCAGGCTCTATCAATTCTCGACGCTCATGTTCAGCTCTGAAGCCTTGCGAATCTGTTCCTTCGTCTGCGCGGTAGTAAGCTTCCGCACGTTCTGACGTTGATGGTGCAGGGTGTGTATCTCACATAGCAAACACATGAAAGAATGACGAACATGTGTATAAATCTCAGCGGGCAATGGGTGTGACCGCCCGCTTCAAGCTTGGTTGACCCAACTAATTACTTCATGCAATACATACAGAGTAATAAAGCCTCGCATCTCAAGGCCCATGCTTTGCACAGAGTAGATTCACTGACGCATGACCCTTATTATAATATTGTGCCAAGATTCACAAACAGATGTTATCCACATTCTCCCAAAGGGCAGCGTGTGCATTCAGGAAACCGTACTTAACTCATGCTTTCTCAGTTGAAACAAATATCCATTATTGACCTCAATCAAATCTATTTCACACACTGCACAAGTGATAACACAAAGACCATAATGAAAAGCTGGTACCTTATGTAAGTGATGAAGGCTGAGAATGTACTGTTGATTGCGAATACTTGTGTGCTTTGTATGGCCTCTGATACATGTATATAATAATTGGTTTTCAAGATTCAATGGTCATGAACAAACCAATCGTCACCGGAAGTATGAGTGCTCAACAAGACTGTCATGACATATTTGGAGACTATACAATGGACACAAACCATACAGTATCAGGTGGTCCGTTGTGAGGAGAGTAACATCATTATCTAACATCTCGAGTAGCTGCAATCTGTATCTGGGCGAGAGGCTAGATATTGCCTAGGCCGACAAGACACGCTCCATCAACAGAAGGTCTCAGCTAGTTGCCAAGACTCGTCAGGAAAACATGTTTTACCTTCGTAACTTTGTCAACAGGATCACGTGACTCAAGCTTTATAGTCATGCTGCTGGTTTGTATTTGTGTGTGTGTGTGTGTGAGAGAGAGAGAGAGAAAGAGGTGGGGGGGGGGCGTGACAGAGAAAGTGTGGGTTCGTGTATGTGGGTGTTTGCTAGTGGGTGGGTGATGGGTGTGAGAGTGACAGAATGAGTATTGTGCGTGTGCCTGTGCGTGTGCGTGTGTGTGTTTGAGAGAGAATATGTGTGTGTGTGTGTGTGTGTTCCAGCTAACTGGCTTGACCGGTTGAATGTTTTCACTGCCACCTTAGTAGATTTTATGGTCTATTTATTTAAAATATTTGAAGTGTACATACCTGTTAACCATGGACTACTTCTGCCTAGATTTACTGTTGAGTAATCCATGGTGCTAGTGAAACTTTTATCAGATCCTCTTGAATTCAATCACCCACACTAGTAGCGAGTATGACTCTTTTAGGATATCTACTGTTTTCTTCGACGAAAACATCGTGCAAATCTATAGCCGGTGTAGGGTGTGTATAAATAACTGTCTTTGCCATCCTATTCCGATGTACTCCATGTGGTGTAAACCAGTATTTGTCGAGTTCATTAGCAATTTTGAAGAAGTCAATTTTTATGGTTATAATGTACATAATGAGCCCAATGTTTTACATAGCAAAGGGCTCTGTTCACCAAACTGAAGAAATTAGCCAATGCCATGAGCATGAAAATATGGAGAAAGCGGTAAGAAAAAGGCTCGTGCGAACATGGACATGTAGGAAGGGAAAAAACCTTGTAGAACAACATGTGCATCCAAATGTGTATCATTCTGTTGCCACCGCCAGTGTGGCATATTGTTCTTAACTAAAATGGGTAGTAATATTGACTGGGAGGGCCGCGCAAGTACGAGATGCATGAATGTTTCAATGAATGTTCATACTCTGGAAAGAAGAGATCCTCTGCAGACACCAGGACAAATGACGAATCAGCGATTGCCTGAAGCTTGGAGTGTTCCAATACAGAATTTGTGCTGCAATACGCATGCAAATGTAGGAGAGCCATATGGCAACATGTTGTCATTCAATGTTAGTACAGAAGACCAGATACTCATCCATTCCTCTCTTCATAGTTATTAGTGTCTTAGTACCAAGAATGCGTGTCTAGGCTTTTCTTGCTTTGCGTCTAAAGCTGAAGCTTTTTAAAGTAAAACACCTAAACAAAGATGCGCTTGAACGTATATGGTGCTGCTGCGTAGATCTAGGGATGTGAGCGCAAATAGACCAAAGGTGGAGAATACTAACTAAAAAAACTAAAAATTACAGGCCTATTTACAACGCATACAGTTTTTCGTGTTGTTGAAGATCTGTCAGGTGCATGATCACACAACATAATTTAGAGGCGACCCTCTTGTTGATCACGTATGTTATCAACTAAGAGTGGGTCTCTGATGTCGTCTATCAAGTTGGCCAAAGCTGATTCGTCCAGGTGTGATTCGTTTCTCTCCCGTCCACGTCCCCTCTGCCAATGCTGCCAGATGCGGCGAACGGAGAGGATCCTGAATCTTCCGTAGCCTCCCTCCTTGGCTAGGCATTGTCGGTAGAAGAGTGCTGCCAGCACCAACGCAGTGGGCGTAAAGAAGAGTGCCCCACTGACCCGTAGCACATAGCTTTCGGTCATGTGCGACGCGTACATGACACTGTAGAGTACTGCGATACAGATGGAAATGCAGAGCATGAATGACTCCCATGTGTTGTAGCCAACACCTGCTAAATCACCCTTCCGAAGAGGCCTGAACAAGGGAGCAGAAAGACCACACAAACTGTAATTATAAAGTCATGCAGCAGGAAGATGATAAAATCCGCTTTGTCTTGTCTTTGTCAAAGTCTAGCACATCTACATAATTGCACGCAGACACTTGTTTGGTTGCGACAAGGAATGACAAGCGCCATTTGTCCATGAACCCAAGAACAGCCATAACAGGATCAATCGTCCACTCCACACTCGCGGAGGGTACAGAATCTATTTCCCTGTCAGTGCACCCAGCTAGCAACGAGACAGAGACCCATGGTCGAGTAATCTGATCGGATCTCATCTTCGCTACCGTTCTTCACTATATAATCATTATGGTTTAAGGCTGTGAAAAATATTCATTACTTTGTGGGGAAGTTGGAAATGGGAAACGGTCTGAAGAAAACCTTGACTCGAACCAGGGACCCTCGCTTATGACCAGCGATTCCCTACCACTAAGCCATGGTGTATTTGACACCCAAGCAGCAACACGGATCAAAAAAGAAAGAAAAAAAAGAAAGAAATGAACGTACCGAACTGTGCTATGCACCATCAGAAGTAGCAGAAGGAATCCAGATGTCACCAAGAGTCTGGAAACCGCGCTCGAAAACGGTAGTGATCCAAGCAGGCCAATGGCAATACGCCTCAACAGGTTCACAGCTGACCACCAGCGGCACTCATCAGTGTACATGCAGCACGCCTCGTCCACGAAACCCTTCAACATGATATGACCATGTGTTCGTCGAATGAGTAATACCAACGGCGGTGGGAGGATAACTATGGCCAGGATTGCGCCCGCTGCCAGGACATAGCCTAGATGAGGTGACACATAGCAGTCTACGGAACCATCCATGGCAAGCACCAGCCTGTCGTTGATTTTCACACACCAGAACACACTGAGAGCTGTGAAGGTGAGCATAAAGTAGCTGTAGACCAGAACAAACCACATGACCCGCACTAGTTTCATGTGGCTCTGAAGTCTTGCCAATCGAGTTCCAAGGTAGTTGTACGATCGTGCAATGCGTATAGCCAGGAAGATGAGAAGAAGTGTGATTGGTTGGATGAGGATTAGAGTGCTGACTTGAAGTCGATTTAGGTCCTCTTTGAGACAGACGTGTCCGAGTCCGAAAGTCAACACGGTGTAGATGCTGCTGTGAAAGAATGTAACTTTGTTCGGGATGATATACCAAGACGCCTGAATAACAACCAAAAGAAGCAGAAATCATGGCAGGCTCTAGTTTCAACATACATGTAGTACGAGTTCCTTCCGAACACAGCACATCACTGATACCTTACTTCATAACTTTCTTGACGTTTGATCTTCCGATCTATTCTAGTGATCATGTGTACCTTTCTTCTGATTGGTACTTTGTTACAGACTATGAAAACAAATTCCACTTGCATTCGTTAATCTTTGACCTGTGGTTTACTATTTGAAACCAAGAATGAGATTTAAAGTTGCTTCATCGAACAAAATGCTGTCTGGTGCCTTCAATCAGGCTTCATGCGCATGGTTTCTCTGATAAAAAAATCCTGATTCAAAGGAAGTTGCGCCAACTGATATGCATGTACATGAAAATATCCTTTCATTATGTGATATGTATTTCAAAAACGGATAATAACCAATACTACCTGCACAAAGAACAGCCAGCTATCCAGAACTGGTGAAAGGCCAACATTGAAGTAGAAGAGCAGAATGGATGTCAGGACTGTCATTACCACCATGGTTATGACGTATACCCATAGTGGAATAGATGACGTCATTGGGCAATCAACGCATTTCTGTACAACGACACGGAAGAGGCAAGTAAAATCAATCATGTAATACCGTCGCCAAAACAAACCCGGCCAATGCTGCACATGCAGTATTGGCCGGATTAGTTCCGCGACTATTTTTAGAAGTCCAAGAGGAAGGCTTGCGCAAACATGCTAAGTGTGTGTCGCTCAGGGTTACCAAATAAAAAATATAAATATTAGGGGTGAAACAATTATACCGAATACTCGAGTACTCGCTCGGTTTTTTCAAACAAAATCGTACTCGGAAAAAATCAGAGTACTCGTTTATACTTGGCACATGCATTTACCACAGAAATCTGCAGTTTCAAAGCAGCAGTGGTCAGATATTGATGTGCAGTCTGTGTGGTGAACCAAGTTCACGAGTAGAGGGAGCCCAAATGACCCACCACCAAAGTAGGCCTCGACCAAATATGCTTGCGCATATTTCACCGCATTTTGTGAGATAGTTCATATAATATGGCATATTGAGCGACAAAGGGAATATTGTAATGGGGCCAGCATATAATTCAAATATTATGAAGAAAATGAGGACAAAACATTCATATCATGGACAAAATGCGTTCAGAAATGCCTTTTATGGATGAATTTGCAATGGCTGAGGCGTTTGCTACATTCCCGCATGGATGAACACTATCACTACGGTTGCTGCGGACACACCCCAGCCATACTATTCCGCATGTGTTTTGATTTGCACTATAAGCATGATAGCCGTGAAGCCAATGAATATTCCAAGGTTGTAATTTACCTGAAATGATCTACACTTTCTGCTTATGACGAGCATATTTTGGCATATTTTGGCATATTTTTTTGCATATCTTGCTAAGCCCTTGGCATATTATGGACGCTTTCCCTGATATGCGACGGGCATAATGTGCTCTTTGTTTAGCATATTTGGTCGAGGCCTACACCAAAGGAAACCCACTATACCCGAATGACATGACTTCAACTCGGTTCAATCAAGGCTGTATCATGTGATTTTATGGCCCTTGGTGTGCAATTTTAGGAGATAAAGAATTCTCGAATGCTTCAACATTCGATCGGAGGAAATCAGAGTATTCGAACTCTGGATTTCGGTTAAAACTTTCACCCCTAACAAAAAAACAACACACCAGACTGAGAGCTGAACCAGAATGCATCATTGTCACCTGAATATTCTGTAGGCCATGTTACTATTCTTACCGCTAATGCTAGCTTCAGTCTTGTACCGGCTCTGCATTCTCCACACAAGATACCCGCGGCATTGCCAACACATGCTGGCGTTCCCGATCCATTGTAGAACCACGCACTACTCTTGCAAAGTCCATTCGTGCACTGTGCAATACCGAACGGGTAATCGACGAATGATGCATACGCCTGCGTCTCTTTGAATGTGCTATTCGAAATGTTGCTCTCCGTTTCAAACACCACATCTACAGCAGTAGATTTCCAATCAAGAGGTTCCTTTTCTGAGTCATGATGGCTATTGGTCGCAACATTACCGGCCCAATAACCCGGTTTCATGTGCAAATAACGACCCTTGCTGTACTTCTTTATCCCTATAGAGTTCATATAGTAGCACACTTTGGTCAGTGGAGTCAGTGGCTTGTAGGGTATGGTGACCTGATGCACAATATAAATAATTCAAGGAAATAGAATTACAATGGTTTGATGCAAAATACTCTCCTCGATCGCTCTGAGCCGACAGGTTGCTAACCTCGGTAGCCATTTCACACACAAACAATTCCAAACAACAAATTGGTTACGGGTTTTGATCCTACGACAAGTACATGTACAACTTCGTCGGTGTGGGATCTGATGACTCTGTCCTCAGAGTCACATGGGCCAACCATTTTCTATATGCCAGGAATAAAAATACAACACAAAGCGAATGAATGATTTACCCAATAGCTAGTGGACTACGTCAAAATCAGAAAGGAAATAGATGGCGATCACGCCTAGAACCACGCCAAATACACAACCACATTCATACTTGAAAACATAAACTTGGAGCCTAACATATTAAATCTATTATTTCTGTCCAATGCCTTACCGCTACATGAGGGCCGTAGAAGCCTCCAAAACAAGGTCGCAACTCAAATGGCACATCCAAGTAGAATCCATCTTTAGACTTCTTTTCTTTGGCAGTATCATCCAACACCCTGAAACGGAAGAATCCTCGCGCTCCTGGTTCTCCGCCAAGGGCTATGCCGGTGAGAGGCGAGCTGGACATGAAGTACATCTCTTCCAGGTGCTCATACAGACCTCTATCGCTATGTCTTGTTCCATAGCGTAGCATATAAACATCATCCTGACTGTTAATCTACAACGTTTGGCAGTACATAAAGAAAAAGACAATTCATGAATATCCTCAATCTGTCTCCAACATATCAACGGCCCTTCATTCCATGTCAAACGACAATGCTCTACATAATGTCATAGTGCATTGCAAACTCTATTTAGAGACAAAACGGCGAACGATTTCAACGTTAATCGAGCCAACTTCTAATTCGATAGGTATAATGTGTCTCTTTTGGAGCGCTCGTGTGATGATGGAAGGGCAGCTGCAGAAAGGGTCAAAAGACACACTGTGATAGTGACAGACACAAGCAACTGTAGAATCTATATCGCTAATACCTATACTTTATGCTGTCATAATCACCCACAGTGGGCTCCTGGGGAGGTTAGGAGGCCATAATTATCTGGCTTGTCAAAGCGTCCACCTAGATAGAGCACTAGATACTCTTCGCGTGTTGTTCTGCCATCGTTCACATCAGAAGAAAGGTTCCACGTGGAGCCTTCAAATCATTATAAGAGTTAGGTTCACGAACTCACATAATGCTAGCACTCGTACGCACTCGCACACTCGTATGCACTCACAGACTCGTACTCACCTTTACAGACTCGTACTCACCTTTACTCTCATACTCACCTTTACACTCTCGTACTCACCTTTGTTCCCTTTTCTAACCTTTTCTTCCGTTGGCCTGGGTAGCTGGATTCGCGCTCTCGTACATTCATTTCCATAGCTACCCAGGCCCTTGATAAGCTCTGATTTGGACATTTTCTCGCTCTCTTTCCAACGAATCTCGATTTGAGACTAAGAGATATTGACCTTCGTCCTTTTGTAACCGTGGCTGTTCGCGTGTGTGATCCGGTGATTCTAACATAAGTAAAGGGTTTGTCCATTGTCTGTTACAAAACACCCCCCCCCCCCCAGCACCACTCTTTTCACAGCTGAAGAAAAGAAACCGTCACACCACTTGAAATTCGGGATTTCATTAAACAATTAATCCTGCCAAACTAAAACTTACCTTGACTTTTATTAGAGAACTTGTCGTAGACAGGAAGTTATCATAGGTGCGAATATTGACAGTAATAAGCTCTCCTGGCGCTGGGTATAAAGTAATACGTGAGAGAACCCGCCCAGAACCCTTTCCCGTAGAGGAGCTCCAACGAATGCCGCTAAAATGTGACCACGGAACCAATATAAGTGATCCGGAAATGATAACGTTGCTGAGGTCCCTCACATTGTTGCCGCTCATTCGCTCAGCAAGGAGTTGAAGTGCGCTGTCGGATTGTCCTGCAGACAATCTAAAAAGCAAAGGGTGTAGAAACGTGGATAGATTCCGTGCGGTGTGAAAGGACTTCTGTAGTAAGCTGTAAAGTCTTTGTTGGAACGACTTCGATTTATTTTACGTATTGGATAACTTCCGATGGTGTGTACTATTGCGTGTTTGCTCGAGAGATATTTTAGGGTGGGCTTAGTATGGATGAGAATGTTCCACCGGAACTGCACTTTGTTTGTGAGATTCAATATTCGATTCCCATAAAACGTAATTACCTTTTCATTATGTAAGTTTCCTGTAACATTTTCATACTACACTGATTTCTAGTGTAGAGCCAGGTATTACCGAGATGCTTGTAGCACTCCGTACTTGATTGTCCCAGCAGAATCCAGGCGGTGCTGAGGTTTAACATTTTGCCGAGCGCATTGTTCGGGTTAGTTACGGCAAAAATAGAGGAGTTACTAACAGCGCACTGGTGCCATTGATCCATGCTTGTATCGTCATTGTTCAGTTGATTTGTATCAACAAAAGTGGCACCGAATGTTGCACAAGACCCATTACTTCTTGAGCCCCTCTGGTAGCTCTTGGTAGCGGGTTGATTTTCGAGGAGAACAATCGGATCGGCTTGTATGTAGCATTTTTTACGGACGCTCAGCTGGAGAGGCATAAGCAACACACAAACATAGGTAGTCAAAACAGTTCTTGATGGTTTAAACAAATATCTACCGTAGCTATTGCCTTCAAACTGAGATTCTGCTTAGTGCGTCTTCACAGAAATTGAACCAGACTGCAAACATCAAGACGAGCGGGTCAGAAATTATCGTCATTTTTGTAAAGAATAACCCCTTGAAGGTTGAAGATGTGTGTAATTAATCGTCTCTCTCTCTTTTATCTTTTCTGTCTCATTCGTAAATGTACTTTTTAGTTAACCGTGTTTGTTTACCACCCTTCATCTCATTCTCACTATTGACAGTACGGTGAACCAGCAAATTTTGTATCAATAACAACAGTAACAATAAGAACCATGCAGCTCATTTCATACCACAACCTCTCCATAGCGTCTGTAGGTATTCTAGCCTTTGTCTTACCGAGGGGCTGTGCATCTTCGGATCCAGTGAGCATCGTCCGATATCCCTGTACTGCTTACGAATACTGGCTCCGACAGTAGGCCACCCATAGGACACATTTCGCCTCAGAAAGTGCTGTAGATTCGCCTGTAGACACATTTTTATGGAGAACAAAGCTGGAAAAACGAACCGAAAATATACACCTGTCATTGGCACTGGCCATGACATTCTGTTGAGTGTAGGCTTGTAAGGGAGTTTTCTCCTGCAAACGTTTCTACTTTAGGCGTAGATGTGCTCTTCGCAATGCAATGCTCCATTCTTTCTCAGTTTCACGCCTTGCTCAATACATTGCGCCTATATTTTTCAGTAAAAGCAACTGTGATCCTATTCAGTCTCACCTTCTCTTACGAGCTTTTTTGTACATGTACGTAAAACAGCTGTCAAGGTAAAAGTTATTATCAGTACCCGTAACCCCTCGGTGTTGGAATTTCTGTTTTATGTAGTGGATACTGAGGGTAGCAGCTAGTCGGCTGAAGAGCGCATGAGGAAGAGTAGAGGACAATTGTACATAAAGTATGGAATCACCGCACAGTATCGCTCGCCACTTCATAGTTATCAAAGTGCTTCTAAAGCGTCGTGAGCACTTAAGTTCTTGCATTTTCAGCTCATACATGAACAATATACTTACCGGATTAACCTTTACAATGCTCAGGCCACTTTCTTGCACAAATGTGCCAATATCCACAACAGTTGCTAGAATGCCGAAGAGATTGAGTATACCATTTTGAGAAACTACCGGAGCGCTAATGAAAGACTTGCCTCTGCATAATATATAGGAAAAAGAGATGCAATATGCACCGTTTAGATATTTTATCGTGTAAATTGTACCAAATTTAAGGATCATTTCTTTCAAAAATAAATATGGATTTTCTCTCCCTTAATTTACACGCAGCCATGCAAACATCTCTGGACATAGTCGGATTTAACAGCAAGGTTATTTGGAATTAATAATCTCTCTTCGCTCTTCGTCGGGCCACGATCGTGACAAAGCGATAATACTAATGATTCGATACAAGAAGTGACTGCCAGCCACTAATAAAACCTGATCGTTTCGTGTTTCAAACCATTGAAGCATGAGAAACGAACGTTCTGTAAAATATATTGATGCTTTTTCTAGCCTAGAGCGAAGACTTCAGTAACAGTGATGTTGCTGCTCTTCAGTTGGTCAAGAGGGGCAACGTTGTGGTGTGGTGGTTGATAAGAATCTTCACATGGTGTTTGATTATGTCAATTAATGTGGTTAATGGACGCCCGCATAATTTGTCCATGTTCTAAGTGTGAGTCTAATTCCTATTGCGTGGTGGGCTTGGCCCCGGGTTATCTCTCTCTTTGTCTCTCTCTATTGCTACCAACAATACAAATAGAATGTTGATGTTATTTTCAGTAGGTTCGTAAAACAGTAGTGGCATATTTTTCTTGTGACCAGACGAGACCAAACGACGCTTGCAGAAACCAGCACGAACACTGCACCAGTGACACTCCACAACAGCTACTTCTGAAGTAGAAGTTGCTATTTACAAGCTCTGTTTCTTTCTAAATAATTATGATGACGGGTACTCATCAGAGGAGATGCAGGATATTGAATGAAATGGGTCAAGATATTAGCGCAATGCTTGTACACTCAACAAACTATCATGTGTGACAAATAAACATAATAATAATAATAAAAATATGCTTTTATTCCACGATGGCGTGACGCTAATATGGACAATTGATAAGTGTGATAGAACTGATACTAGCCAGAAACAGCTAAATGGAAATTACCCGGGGAGGCAAGTAGCAATGGATGGTGAAAAACAAGCAGGGGCAATAACGTTAGCAGGGGTGATCGAGATAGTTGAATAGACGTTCGAGATATCAGAAACCTGGGGAATGCGCGGAACAGGTCTTGATCAAAAGAAGACTGGATGCATTGTTTTGGAAAGAATTTCTACGATGTTGGGTTGTGATGTCGATAGGGAGTGAGTTGTAGACCGTAAGGGCTCTGTTGATGGGGGGAATCTCCGTGCCTGTTTGTGTGTGCGTGTCCGATGGAGTAGGTTCTTGTCTGTCGAAGGGTGTATGGTTGGTGTTGACCTTGTCCTGCAATATATGGTTGTTGCAGGTGTGGTGAGGCTCGGGGTTTGGTGTTGGATGGCCCATGCTTCTAGGACTTGTTCAAAAAGGAGTCATGAGTTAAGTGTGGGAAGCTTTGCGTGATGGAGGAGGGAACTGTGGGGAACTGGTGCAAAGACGGGAATCTGAAGGCAGATGCTATAGCACGGCGTTGAATTCTCTCCAGTGTGTCCCGCTGTTCCTGTGTGTTGTTAGAGAGGGCAAGGCTGCCATATTCGAGAACGGGTCGGATGTAGGTCGTGTATAGAGGGGCAACGGTGTGGTGTGGTGGTTGATAAGAATCTTCACATGGTGATTAAAAATAGGCTGGAAGGGCTCATTGTGCCACGTGTCTTGTGGAGTTGGTATAGTAGTGTTTTGGCTTTGTTGGCGGTTTCTATGATGTATTGGGTCTATTGCATAGCCTCTTGGACTGCGACACCAAGATGCCTATGTTGGTGGACCTGCTGCGCCAGAGTCGAGTGGAGCGTGATGTGGATGGTGTGTTGGGATTGGAAGGAAAGGACGACGGTTTTCGTGGTGTTGACGAGGAGCTGCAAATCCATCAACCATCGTCCTGCTGCGTCCACGGCACGTTGGAGGAATGCAGCTGAAAAATCCCTCGTGTATTGCGTCCCGATCTGCCGTGATCTGCCGCATCTGCCGCTAGGGTTTACCGGGTGTTAGCGGCCGCCGTGAGTTCCCTTCGGGAACAGACACGATAATTTACTTACTTTATTTTTTTATTGCGTCCCGATGAGCGGCGTGTCTTCGGCGAACTGGCTGCATTTGGTGTGCGAGATTTTACATGCTGGGGGGGAGGTCGATTGCGTACACCAGGAAAAGAAGAGGCCCCAGGATAAAGCCTTGGGGTACTCCAGCTGGAATGGATTTCCTCGATGACAAAGCGGAGCCAACCTTCACACGTTGTTGGCGGCGAGTCAGGTAGCTTGTGAGCCAGGTAAGGGCAATGCCACGGACACCAAGGCGCTCGAGTTTGGCCAGAAGGCCCAAATGCCAAACTCGGTCAAAAGCCGTTGACAAGTCAAAGAAGCATGCTGACAATGCCTGACCGGAATCCCGGCTGGAGGAAATCTCATACACTAGGCGGGAGAGCAGTAGTTCAGTACTATCCTTAGTTCGAAATCCAGATTGGTCGGCCGGTAGGTGTGGCTCAATGTGGGTGTAGAGACATTGGTGAACAATCCTCTCCTGAACCTTGCTGACAATGCTCAGGAGTGAGATTGGCATAATATAGTTGGTGATCTCTGCTCGAGAGGCCTTCTTGTGTAGAGGACTGAGAGTGGCGTCGCGCCAGTCTTGTGGCTGCTCGCCTCGCGAGAAGGACTAATTGAAAAGCGTTGCGAGGGAACACGATATTTCGTCTGCAGTGTTCTTGAGCAATTTCGTAGCGATGTCATCGTACCTAGCCGGAAATCAAGAGCGAAAAGGAGTTTTCTGGCCTCCTCCTGGGTGGCGATGATTTCCTTCAGTTTGCTTCCGATGATGCGGGACACGGCTTTCTCTGGTAAGACTTCAGTTGGGCCGAAGACAGACTTCTGGCTTTCCGAAATGAAAAATTGTTAAACGCTTCCGCCTTTTCTCCATCGGATCTAGCCACTGTTTCGTTCACTGAAATAGGTGGAAGCTCCATTTTCGGAACGGCGGCAGTGGTTTTATTAACTTGCACAGGTTTCGGTGCGGGACACCAGTTACTTTCGCCTTGCGCCGTAGTGGATACAAAGGCGGATTTAGCTTCTCTCAGTTGTGTTGTGGTCATATTGCGGTGAATAATGAACGCGAGACAGTTCTCGGGGCTGCGTGTTCTGAGATACTGACGGTAGAGCTGATGCTTGAGTTTATTGCTGCAAAGAAGCTGGTGAATCATCCATGGTCGCCGACCTGGGCGAGAATGATGTACACGTCGTGGTGCGAAGTTAGTACTGGACACGTGTGCTGTGTTGATAAGTGAGTCATGCCAATGCGACCAGAGGTCTGACATTGATAGTTGCGGAATTTCCTAAGCCTGTGGCCGAAGTTGCATTGAGTGCAGGGCCTCTTTCAGTGCGACGACGCGATCAGGGTCCCAGTTTCAGCGCCAAGTTTCGACGTTTTTCTGGGGTGGTTCTTGTGGTGGGCACTCAATGGTCACATGTCGTCCGAAGAGTACATGATCTGAAGCTCCGACAGGGGGATACGATGTGCTCCTCACCTGATGTAAGCATTAAAACTACAGACCTGCGTCTCTGCTGTCCATAATATCCAAAGTGATGGAAACGATTGTCAATCGTAAAATAATCAGTTTCCTGAAGTCCCATAATGTCCCTCCGCGAAACAGTTCGGGTTCAGAAAGGGCCTGAGCACAGCTGACGTCTTAACCAAGCTCCACTGGAAATGGTCCAGAGCAGCCTGCCTTGGAGGAGCCGCCCATGTTTTGGCGATAGATGTAGCAGGCGCCTTTGATAAAGTCAGCCATGATGGCCTGCTGCACAAGGCTTCCGTGTACGGTCTAGCCGGCCCGCTTCTCGGATGGCTTGAAAGCTACCTGCACCACCGGCGGCTGCAGGCTGTTGTGGGCGGCCAAGACTCCTACCTGCACCATATCCAAGCAGGGTACCGCAAGTTAGCATTCTTCGACCTACTTTATTCCTCCTTTACGTAAATGACTACGACGGCACCTTGCCTGCTGGCGCTGAGCTGACCACCTATGCAGATGACACGACACTGTATCAGTGCATCTCTGCCGCTGCCAGCATATCCGACTCTGCAACACAACTCCAGAAAGCAGTGGATGCCGTCTCTCTGGAGTTCCAATTGGAAGGTCACCTTCGAGCCAACCAAATCTCAGGCCCTCAACATCGACCACCGCAAGCCTCCCCCAGCGGTCCCACCAGTCCTCTTCAATGGAATGACTGTTCCTGAAGAGAAGGAATTAAAACTTCTGGGCATAGCATTCGACTCGTAACTGTCCCACTCAGCACACCTCCGGGCCGTGGCCTCAAAGGCTGCCCAACGCCTACACTTCCTGAGAAATGTTGCACCCCTGTTGGACTCCAGCGGCCGCACGGCAGTCTAGAAAGGCTCACAATGGAATACTATTGCCTGGTGTGGATGGGGTCATGCACTTCCAGGCTGAACAAAATATAGCTGAAAGCATTGGAGGTGATTGGCCCAGGCGCCTGGCTCCCCAGCTTGAAACACCGCCGACATGTTGCTGCCCTTTTGTTCACTGTCAAGCTGTCCTACCCTCCAACAACAAGCCCCCTGAAGCCCATCCTCCCACCTCCAGCCAACCCCCGCCCATTGGGTGGTCGATCCACTAGGTTAGCCAGGGAGACTGCCCACTGGCACCTGCTCCAGCTAAAATCGACGGTGCCTTTGTGCATTCGTAGCAGCCTTCAGGGTTCCTACCCAGACTGCATTATTCCCTTGTGGAACAGGCTACCAGCGACCATTCTACCAGCACGGCCGCAACCCAGACAGCGCCAATCCTTCAAGGAAAAATGCAACAAGTATCTGCTGCACCTGAACTGGCAATCAGCCACCGCTGCCCTGTGAAACGGTTTAGACCAGCGCCTCACTAATATCCTCCCCCCCCCCCCCTTACCACAATGTGACGTTATCGTTCACTCTGCTTCTCTCACGACAATCTACCTATTGT